GTACTATTATTACCATGGAAAAGCTTCATGAGGTAAACCTTGTTAATCTTAAACTTAGCCTAGAAATGATGAGAGAAAGCAATAATTACCTGAGGGAAACCAGTCTTCCGTGCTACGTCTTGCCATGCAAGCTCCTTTTTGTTGCGGTGTTTAAAATCTTTACTTGCTTTATCATACAAAACCGGGTATTGTCTTACCGCCTCGGAGAGATGTTCATCTATTGACAGCTCTGCATTTGCCGAAGTGTCAAATCGATTGGATTCCGCCATTTTGTTTGTGGATAGTTTCTCGAGGAGGTATGGGCCAAAGTGAGCGATGATTCGTTGACCACTTTACGCTTATGCTTATATATGCTTATTTCACTCGCGTTCGTACTACTACATAAGCATAACATGTGCTTATGATCATGCTTTAGGTCGTGGGTGTTTTCACTTGCTTATTCGACTCCTTGTGCTTATGCTTGCGCTTATCCGCTAGAGAAAAAAATCGTGAAGGAAAGAAAGAAGATTTATCGAACATAGAGATTGGAGCCCAGGATGAGAAGATGAATACGATGAAATACATACTACCCTTAGTTGATACACAAGGTCAAACAATACACATTGAAGCCTATGGTATTGATCAGATTACTTCAGACATCGAAAGCATGAGCACCGAGAATCTGGCAAAGTTGTACAAAGGCGTGTCAAAGGACGATATCGCTCGACCAGCGGGACCCGTCGACGATTTGATTAGGTCTAAGTATACTGTGTATCACCCTCAAAGAAAACAGAACGCTAGACACCTTCTGTTACTCCAGAATCGATTTGGCCTTTGTATCGGAGGAACACACCCGTTGATAAAAGGCCAAATAAAGAAAGATGACCTCAGTTACGCTCGAGTGCATCATGTAATAAAAGTAGAAAACTTGTACAAAATAGGGAATCTTGGCGTTGAAAGTGTTTCGCGTTGTGGAAGCTGCAAATGTGGGACATTGTGCTCTCGGAAGTAAAAACTACAGCATCAAAGAAGAAAAGGAGTTCGATTTGATTGAGGAAACATGAAGTTTGACGCTCAAGATCATAGATGGATCGCGGAGTACCCATGGATTAAAGATCCGTGCGATCTTCCTGATAATAGACGAGTGAGTAGCTCTAGCCATGCTGTATTCTACTGAGCGTAGACTGGAAAAGAATACACAACATGCAACTGTATACGATAACCAACA